CACCACTAGACTGCAGTCTCTGGAGGTTTTAGGCATCTGGGAGATGAGGGAATATTCATCTTGCTCAAGCCTGGTTGGCACCTTTAAAAAGACATGAAGTTCATCTCATTTTTGGAAATTGTTTTTTTTATTACTTTTCACCTTTTAAAAAGCTTTGAATCAACAAATCTGACAGCATCAGATGAGTTTCCTTCAATCATTAGTGAAAGAAACATTTAACTACAAGTTTAAGAACTTAAGAAAATGGGGGAGGGGGAATAAATAGAAAAAGGGTGATTAAAAATTGATTTTGAAAGTTGCAAATGGACTAAAGATTCAGATAACTTGAAATAAGATTTTGGAAGTAATTCTAAATAATTTTTCCCAAGGCAAAATGTTTTTGTTTTGATTTTTTAAAAAGATAATAAGACTTTATAAACTGGACACAAGTGGGAACTAGAGAGAACTGAAGATTACAATTTAAAAAAGAAAATGAAAACTCAATTTACAATTACAGAATGAAGCAAAATATTGTAACTTTGAACATACTGAAATATATTTTTAAGTCCTTGGTGGTCTCTGAGCTTAGTGGCTTTTTGTACTGATGATATTACTTAGTCAGGTTACCTGAGTTTGACTGTTTTCTTGCAGATGAGATAACAGCCAAATTCAGAGACCGTAAGGACTCCACAGTTCAACTATGAGCAGGGCCGGATTTTCCTATAGGCTAACTAGGCTTCAGCCTAGGGCCTCAAGATCAAGAGGGGCCTACACAGTGGTGGGATTCTGGGGGTTCTAGGGAGTTCGGCCGAACCCTTTGTTAAATTGCTGACTCGCCCGCCCCTCGCCTCCCACCCGCGCGGCGCCAGCCTACTGTAGCCAGGGGTAGGCAATTGTGGCTCTTTTACAACCTGTGGACTTCAACTTCCAGAATTCCTGAGACAGCTTGGAATTCTGGGAGTTGAAGGCCACAGGTTATAAAAGAGCCACAATTGCCCACCCCTTCCCTAGCCTGAGTTCCGCTGCCTGGGATCCACGTGGGCTGCCACGTGGTTCCCCACCGGCTCCGGATGCAAGAGAGCAGGATGGAGAAAGCAGCTTCCATGCCTTCACTCACCCTCACTCTCTGCTTTGTTGGATCGCCGGCCGTTCGCTTACCCTGCCCACTCCCAATCTATTGCTGCCTCCGATGGCTAGAGGAAAAAAAAACTTCAAATTCTTGCTGCGGGGCTTCAAAGGGCCGCCCTAGAGCCAGTGGTGCAGCCGAACCCTTTGTTAAATTGCTGGCTTGCCCCGCCCCTCCGCACCACTATTTATTGCCAATAAATAGTGGTGGGCGAGGGGCGGGGGAACCAGCAATTTAACAAAGGGTTCGGTGTTTTTTTTTGTAATTTTATTGGCCCACGGAGCTTCAGCATAGGCTAATTGGCCTCCCGGCTCTCAGCTGATTTGTCTCAGCTGTTTTGCTCAGGGCTCTTCTGCTTCCTTGCAAAGAGTGCTGATTTTTTTCCCCCTAGCTATGCTGAGAAACGAAATTGAAACTGCTTTGCTATTGCTGCAAGGTTGGAAAATTAGGCAGGCAGAATTCTTTTCTTTTTCCTCACCAAAAAAGGTAGGTGCGAACAATGGGAAATTTAGGGAAAAAGAGGAGAGTTCAGGATTTTAAAACACAAAAGAAAAAAAGCTCTATTTAACTAGGGAATTGTAATAATTGAGATACTATTAATTGTATATTTCTGAACGCAGAAATGGTTAAGTTGTGGTTTGAAGGAATATATGGGGGAAATTATTTGGTTTATTATTATTGGTAAATATAATTAATTGATTTGTAAGAAATTGGATTACATGGAAATAATTGGAATATTCATGTTCATATTGATTAATATACAAAAAAGGTAGTTATATAACTAATTGATTTATATTAAAATGTTGAATTTATATTAAACAACTAATATTACATAATTAACCAATGTGAGGATGGATATAAAAATAGATGACAATGGGAAGGGGTATAATATAGAATAGAAGGGAAAAATTGAATTTGATTAAGATTAGAGATGAGGATGAAGGGTAATATTGGTTTTTTACAAAAATAGATGAGGAATAAATATGGCAAAAAGGAAATATAGAAATTGTAAATTTAATTGAAATGACTAAACACTGTTTAAATTTGTGAACCGGCCAAATACTCTGTTCAAAGAAAATACATTGTATGTTTGTATGTGTGTTTCTAATTATTGTTATTTATTCATATTTGTTCTCTTTTATTCTTTAAAGTTTAACAATTCATTCTTTATCTTAATATCTTTATATTTGTTTGGGGTTGGCTTTCTTCCCTTTCATCTTTTTTATTGTACAGCAATCTCCTCAAACCTACCACCTCTCTCTTTTCTTTCCTTCTTACTTTCTCTTCCTCCCCCTCTTCTTCTCCTCCCTACTTCCTCTTCCTTTCTCCTTCTCCTCCTCTCTTCCTCCCTCTCTTACCCTCCCTCCTACTCTAATTTCCCTTCACTTCCTTCATCCCTCTCTATTGCTGTATCCTTTTATGCATGGTGAAGAGAAGCAGTTGTGAAATGAGTGACATGGTTGTTAAGAAAGCTGCACAGGCATAAATGTGAGGATGGTCATAAGTGTGAGGACCGTCAAAAGTGCGAGGCCCAGTCAGAAATGACTTTTTTCAGCCCTCTGGGTAGTCCTTTTGTGCATATGGACTACTCAGAGGGCTGAAAAAGTTATTTCTGACTGGTCCTCGCACTTTTGACCAGTCCTCGAACTTACGACTGTTCTCACATTTTACGTTTTTGCCCTATCTTGTCACCATGGTGAAGAGAAGCAGTTGTGAAATGAGTGACATGGTTGTTAAGAAAGCTGCACGGGCATAAATGTGAGGATGGTCATAAGTGTGAGGACCGGTCAAAAGTGCGAGGCCCAGTCAGAAATGACTTTTTTCAGCCCTCTGAAAAAAGTCTATGCACATAGCCACGCCCACCCGGTCACATGACGAGCTACCCACGCCTACACAGTCACGTGACCAGCTAGCCACGGCCCACCCGGTCACATGATTGCCAAGCCACACCCCCAACTAAGCCACGCCCACAGAACCTGTTGTTAAAAAAATTGAATCCCACCACTGGGCCTACATTCCCTACATTCAAATTGTTAGCAAAATTAAAATTACACTTTCACTATAAGTGAAAGGGCCTCATAAGTGGAATAGCCTAGGGCCTCTTTTCATCTAAATCCGACCCTGACTATGAGCAACAAATATTCTCCTCTAATGCATGGTTTTGAGCAGTAATGTCAATAGTGACATCTGCTTCTTTGAAAAGACCATGTCTAAAAGATGTTATGGAAGAGAAACAAGTACTATCAAACAAATCGAGAATGAGTTAAAAGTGGATTTACAAATGACAGGCCGGAAAAAAGATAACCACAAAAGATATTACATTGGACATACAAAAGAAACTGGTTAATGTCTTAATAATTAAAATGGATACACAAACAATAAACCAAGAGAGTGACCTGAATAAATGGATATACAAATGAGGCTTGTTAAAGTTTTGAAGAATTTCTTGAGAAGAGATGAAGAAAAAAAAGAAAAGAAATCAAGTTCTCCAACATTATTTGAATGGACTAAAATATTGTTTAGAAGTAAAAGGAAGTAATATAAACCTACTTTATTTGATTGAGGTTAAAATAGATATGTTTTTATCTCTGATAATCCTTAATGAACTTTTGCCTACTCCAGGACTGAAATTATGCTGATTTATTGATGTGTATGTAGATAAGAAATGAGATAGGGGAAGAAGAGGAAGGTTACTAAAATTGTTAACACTTCTGATGAAAATGGGAAGATACTTTTTTATATATTACTTTTCTTTTCTACATTCTTACTTTGTTTTCTCTTTCCCTTTTTTGTTTCTTTATTGTTTCTTTTCTGTATTTTCTATCCTTTCTATCATCTTTTAGTTTCTATTAGTTTTTACTATTATAATTATAACATTTAATAAAATTATTATTAAATATTTTTGCTCATAAGTGTTAGATAAGCAACCAATCAAAACATCTAAGCTTAATTTGAATCCATTTCACTAGAGAACTTGGGAATCCAACCCTTCCATAACAGAGAGCAAACTCACTTCCCTTGATTGATCCCATCCAGAACAATTTCCAGGGCTTACTGGAAGAAAGGGTAAACTGGCAGCAGGTAGAGCCGATTGGCAAGCCCAGATCATGAAATAGCAAAAGCAGCCATGTTTTCTCAGCATGTAAGATGGAGAAAACAAAAAGAATCAAATTGGAACCATGAATTTGCACACTTCATCCCACTTTTGTGTCAACCTTGTGCAATTGGCAGTTGCCAATTGAGATGAGAGAAACAAGGAGAAAGATCTATTTCTCCCTCATCTTAGTTTATTGCTTTATTTCCCCTCCTTGTCTACCTGCATATAAGCAAGCAGGAACTAACCTGAAATCCATTATCTATAAGGACGAAATTACATGATCTGTTGTGTATACATTAGTCTCCCTCACCTTTCTGAGATGTATATACTGTCTGTGAGTGCATCCCTTTGTCCGGTGGAGTCTGTCTCGATATTCTCCGGAGGGAGTCTCCCCAGCACAGTGTTGTTTAATAAAAACTGCACTGAGCCTTGATTATTTGTTTTTGGGCCTGCATTTTGAGTCCACAAGAGTAAGGTAAAATATTTCAGCATGATAAAATACAGCTTAAGAGGTATTTAGAATTGTTTCAATAAATAATCTATAAATTTGCCTCAGGTTTTAATTTTTTGAACCTGTCCATTTCTCGTGCCAAGTAATGAATTCAGTATGCATCATTGCAATACCATTTGTAAATCATAGGTTTTTTTTTTTTTTTAATGGGTGTTGCTCCAGGCCAAATATTTACTTTTCAATAAACAATTTAAAAACAACTATAATAATTTCTATAGCCATATGTATTAAATGGACATACTCATTTTCATATGGGTTTTTTTTTATCCTTTCAATTTTTAGGGAACATACATACTTCCATTGCTCACTTCTGTGCTCCATGATGAAATTCAGTGGGGGAAACCCTATCAATTCTATCCTGAGCATTTTCTTGACTCTGAAGGAAAATTTGTGAAGAGGGATACATTCATGCCATTTTCTGCAGGTGAGATCCTCTGATGTCATAGAATATGTTTTATAAAAGGGGCATTGCTCCATTTGTTGTGATTAATTTTCCATCTTTTTTGACATTATTTTCACATTCAGAACATCTGCTGCCATCTAGTACTCAGAGTCCATTTCTATTCCATTACTGCATTTTAACTTCTTTCCGTCTCTATGATCTATTATTGCTTTCCTGTGTGCTGATCTCTCCATGTCCGTAGACATTGGGAAAACATGTGAGTTTTTTTAAAAACCAATAAACTCTCATTGTTTTTGCCATCTATGCTTTCTTCCAGGTCGAAGAATATGTGCAGGTGACAACCTGGCCAAAATGGAGCTCTTCCTCTTCTTCACCAGCTTCCTGCAAATATTTACCTTCCATCCACCCCCAGGAACATCTAAAGATAACCTGGACCTCACCCCCATTTTTGGACTTTCCGCCTCTCCAATGCTTTTCAAGACCTGTGCTATGTTGCGTTGATCTGAAAAAAAATATAACAAGCTGTTTTTTATGCTTTGAAATTGCTTTTTTTTTTTTTTTTAACGGCAAGGCAATATCTGACAATCTGATGCCATATGGTCTAGTTTTTAGATGTTGTTTAAAGACTAAATTGTATAAAAGAAAAGAAAAGTAATGTGTTAAAATGACTTCTCATAATCACATCAAGTATAAATTGCATTAATAACATATCATCTTCTCTTAAAATACAACAAATGCTCTCCCATATCTTATCTCTTATCTATAAGCAAATCCTTCAAAATTTGTCATTCAGTTCTGGCCAGCAAAATTCCTTTATGAGTTACCAGAGACAGCAAAACATCTATTTTAACCTTGATCAAATAAAACAACTTGTTATTCTCTTGGCTGCACTAACCCTTATATTTCTTTTCAAAAGAATTTTATTTCTTTTGAAAAGGGGCAGTTGCTGGATGTCTATGGAGATTCTTAGTCATCCAGGTCATGGTTGTCCCAAAAGTGCTTTTTCAAGAGGCAACTGGTCTTTTTGGTAAAGTTAACCAGAAAGTTAACAGTTGCCTCTTGAAAAAGCACCTTTGGGTTGGACGTTCCTGGAGTAACAGCTCCCACAATGTCCTTCCAGGACCCAGGACTACACCCATTTTGGGAAATCTACACATGATGGATCTGAAGAAGCATTAAAGAACAATGATAGAGGTAAATTAAGTGTAATTGGTGATTAAGAAGGATGAATATTCTGTGCCAAAATTGGTTGGGATGAGAGAAATTAGTAACTTGGTCAGGAAATTCTCATGTTTCCTGACCAATGGCTGATGGTTTTCCAATCAATGGTTTTCAACCAATGGACCAATGGTTTTCAACATCTATGGACATATTTAAAAAGTGAGATTTACCAGATATCTAAATATTTCCTTCTTAAGCAGGGGGTTGGACTAGAAAACCCTCAAGGTCCCTTTCAATTCTGTTATTCTGCTGCATTTACAGTATATATATATTTCCTGGAAGTATTATGCCCAGAAAATCTTTTTTGATAATACTGTACATATAACGTTTTATAATTGTTCATGCAGGTTTGCAGAGCTGGTTCAAAATCCTAATAAGTCTATATGGAAATATAAATGTTGTTATGCCAATTGACTTTATACAGGTGTTTAGAGACACTCCTATATTAAAACAATTTCTGCAGGGAGCAACATTCAATGCAAGGTTTTCTTACAGCTCTTTAAAGCAGCAGAGTAGACTAATTTTCCTGATTTTCAGATTCATTTATGAGAATACATTTTAATTTCTTTCCTTAAGGAATTCCCATGATCGCCAAAACTACAAGGGGCACAATAGGAAAGTTTCTGTGTGATCCTTTCAACAACCAGACAGAATCTTTTATAGCTAAAATTCAACTGTACGTCTGGCACTAAAGGCTGCAAGGCAGCTTTGGAATATAATTATATCTCTCGTGCAGGTTTCATCTTCCTACAGAGTCTTATATAGTTGAGCCCTTTATGAGAATGTTTATGAGAAACATTTATCATTTTGACATGGTCACTTGGTGACTTGGTGTGATCACTTGGTTTGCAAGAACTTCTTATTACATAAGGATCATTTTGATTTGTTCTATATAATTAAATTAAAAATCATAAAAATAAATGTAAAGCATCATAATATACCATAAAGCAAAAAGAAGAAGGAAGAGGAGGGGGAGGAGACTACATTTCTTACCATCGTAGATCAAATCTTACCATTCTACTGATGTACATATGTTGAAGTTGGATTAAGTTAGTAAGACCCTCAAAAAAAAAAAGAGGTGAGAAGTTTAAAAACAGAAGATACATTACATTCTATACAATTGTGGTGGAGGCAAGGGTGGTTTATAAGAATAGACTAGGTTGTATCCTTCTGCATCCTCGGGGTCCAAAGTGAGACCAGCTTATGTATAATTTGGTATGGGTTTATTATGGTATCTTAATTGGGATGTGTAGTTTTTTTTTTGTTTGAACAAGTTATGAGTAGTAATAATTGAAATAATAATAATAGAAACAGTCCAACGTCTAGACTGCTTAGCTTCCTTGTTTACACCTACCTTGTCTAACCATCAAGCGTATATTTGTGGAGTCTAAGTTGAATTGGTCATGCTTTTTTTAAAAAAAACACAAAGGATCCACATAGTCAAATGAGAGATAGAGTAAAATTTTAAAAAAGCAATACTAATAAAAAACAACAATTTTTAGTATTACTGAGAATTTATTTCATAAAAGTAAAAAATATTTATTCAGAGACGGTTATTCCTAGATTTGGTGGAATAGAATAGCAGATATTTCAAGATGGGAAAAGCTGCAACTGTCAGGTTGGGTTGAATGTCTTGCCACGGCTTAAGGTTTTGTTCCAATGAATTCCAATAAGAACTGGAAAAAAGACACTAGATCACTGGCAGAGATTATTTTACATGGTCTAATTAAAGTTTGAGTAGTAAAGTTCAAAAAGGTATAACCCTTGAAAAAGTGTATTAAACAGGCAACTAGTTGTGTTACCAGGGAAAATATTTAGATAGTTAAATAAAGGAAAACACTCGTGTTATGTGCCTTCAACACACTGATGTCAATCTGTTGGAATGTAAACATCTCTGTTAAAAATGTATGACCTCAGTTTTTTAAAATGTGGAGGAGATGGCACCACTGATGGCTGCCTCAGTGAAATGCTCTGTAATGGTTTCTTTATTTTTTATTATTCTCTGCAACTCTCTATGGATTTCATACTCACGAGACCATCTGGTAAGAATTAAGCAATGTTTCTTTAAGGAGCAGCTTTCTGTAACTTCACCCCCCTATCTTTACAAATGTGGAAGAGATTCTAACACAGGAAGAAGCAAATTCCCTGGAGCAATGGATTATCAAAAACAAATGGAGACAGCGAGAGCAGGAATTTTGAATAGGCTATGGAATAGGGGGAAAAAAACCCTCTCCCTTCAATCTTTCTGACTAATTTATGTTCAATTGCTAATAAGATGGATGAAATACTCCATCTTATGCATTTTATGAAATACAGATGCATTTCTGATTTTTACAACTCAGCAGCTCTCTGCTTCACTGAAACCTGGCTAAATGAGGAAATTGATGATAAGAGAATGCATATCCCAGGGTTTCAGATACAAAGAGCAGACAGAATTGCAGAATCATCAGGTAAAAAGATGGGAGGAGGCTTATGTTTATATATCAACAACAGCTGGTCTCAGCATATAACTATAATATATAAATTCTGTGATGAAAACCTAGAGTCTTTACTTATCAACTGTAAACCATTTTATTTTCCATGAGAGTTCTCCTCATTTCTCCTAATTGCTGTGTATGTTCCTCCACAAGTCTGGGTAAACAAGGCATTACGAACTCTAGTTGACCAGACTATGGAGGCTGAAGCCAAATACCCAGATTCACTGGCCATTATTCTAGGTGATTTCAACAAAGGTAACTTAAGGAAAGAGCTTCCAAAATATTTTCAGCATGTCAATTGTCCCACTAGAGGCAAGAATACTTTAGACCATGAATGTGTTTTACTGCAGGTTTGAAAGGAAACTACAGACATCTATCTCCATCCCAGACACACCAACAACAGCCAAACTGATCCCATTCCATTGGGTTCACAACCTTTTGTGATCACAGAAAAGGAAGTGCAAGTTGTATTTCAGAGACAGAAGCCAGGAAAAGCACTGGGCCCAGACAAGATAACTCCTTCTTGCTTAAAAGTCTGTGCTGACTAATTGGCCCCCATCTTCATCTGAATCTTCAATAAATCACTAGAGATGTGCCATGTTTCTTCTTACTTCAAACGCTCCACTATCATCCCAGTGCGGAAGAAGCCCTCCATCAAGGAACTGAATGACTACAGACCAGTTGCTCTAACATCTGTAGTTATGAAAACTTTTGAAAAGCTACTGATGTTCCACATGAAAACCATCACAGATCCACTGTTAGACCCCCTGCAATTTGCATACTGAGCAAATAGATCAACAGATGATGCTGTTAATATGGCTACATCCTACAACATATTGAATCTCCAAAGACCTATGCAAGGGTCCTCTTTGTAGACTTTAGTTCAGCATTCAATACCATCATACCGGACTTTCTTCTAACTAAACTAAATCAGTTAGTGGTACCTGAACACACTTGTAAGTGGATCACAAGCTTCCTAACAGACAGGAAGCAGCAAGTGAAGCTAGTGTTGTGGTCCGCCAGCAGCCTGTGGACCTGGCAGTGGAGTCGGACAATGAGGAGGCTGGGGAGGACAATGGGCCAGTCCTGGAGTCAGGGAAAGGCCTGGATGAGGGCTCTGCGTCAGAGGCAGAGATGGGGCCAGGGCCATTTGGGAGCAATGCACGGACTCTGGAGCTTCCAGAGGCAGACAGCAGAGAGGCAGAGGAATAGAAGGAGCCTGTTCCTAGTGCACACATGCAAAGAACTGCCAGAAGGCAAGAGCAGCTGAAGCAAAAAGGACGACTCAGGAGTAAGGCAGAAGATGATTGGCCATTCCAATAAGGCTTAAAAGAGCAGCAAGAGCCATTGGGTTCTTTGTAGAAAACCAATGTAGATTCCAGTATTTCTTGTTAGCGTCTCTTAAACTTTGTGGGGGTTTTGCCAAGAAAAGCCTTTGGCAGGTTGTGAAAGACATCAAATTGGTGATAAGGCCATAGGACTGGTTATGAAGAATTTGTTTTGGACTAAGATGACAATGAATTAATTCTCAGCTGTTTTAATAAAATAAGTTTGTTCAGGACTGAATTGTGTTTGGTAATCACTACGTAGGCCTTGGTAACAATAGTTAGGCAAAATCACATCAGATACCTGTACAATTACCACAGGAGACCCCAAGAACTGTGTGCTCTCTCCACTTTTCTTCTCTCTATATACCAATGACTGCATCTCAAACGATCCATCTGTTAAACTACTGAAGTTTGCAGATGATACAACAGTGATTGGTCTCATTCAAGACAATGATAAATCCGCATTCAGATGGGAGGTTGAACAACTAGCCTTATGGTGCGACTGGGACAACCTGGAACTGAACACACTCAAAACTGCAGAAATGGTGGTAGACTTTAGGAGAAATCCTCCCATACTACCACCTCTTACAATATTAGACAACACAGTATCAACAGTAGAGACCTTCAAA